TTTTAGAGGAACACCATAGAGGAAGTGGAGGTAGGAGCTGCAGGAGACACCGGTGAAGAGGGACACATTTGTGTTAAAATTGGGGCTGTGGAAGACATCAGACTGTTCTAAGTTATGGGACAGAGGTATCTGAATGTTCAGGCTGGGGGAAAGACAGTGAGACATGCATTCTGGCCACCCAATGGACTGGACTCATGCCTCCTTGACCTGGATTCCTCAGGTATCTGGAGGAGAGGGGGCAGTGGAACTTGATCTGGAGCTGGGCATCGTCTGAGTTGCATGCTGCATCACTGTCATGGATATTCTTAGCATGCCCAGAGGGGTTGGGCAGCCAGTTGACCTTGGACACCTAGAGGTTTTTTTCTCATAACTGAGGAGTTTTTGGTTACTCTCCTCCGTTGTCTCCTGGCCTTTTCTCTTTCTGTATTGTAACGTCATGTACTGTCACACAGCTTTGATAAGTGCCCTGGGCCAACCGTGTTTGCGAAAGGCGCTGTATAAAAATAAATTGAATCGAATTGAATTGAAATTGAAGTTCCTACCCGGACACTTTGCAGAACTCCAGCCTAATCCTCCCCAAACACTTAGGAGATTGTAAATTTAATTTACAGACATCATGAGATTTGTGATTATTAGCAAACTAGTGTGTTCATCTTATTTCGTTTTTTTTACATTTATATTTACTCCAGTTTTACATGTTGTGAAAAAAAATCTAAAATGAGGCTTACGTGAATAGATAAATAATTAAATACATAAGTGTTTTTAGTTATATAAATAAGTTTATATACACTCACTGATTGATCCAATGGGTTAATTCTTCCTCACACTGATTTTTGGTTTTCCTTTTTTATAAATGTGGAATGAGAAATTGTCACATTTGTGAATCTTCAAATAAACAATGACTTGCACTTTCTAAATTCATCTAACAATACAGAAGGAGAAGGAAATTAATAACTTTATTTTGGTGTAGAATGGAGGCAGTGAACTGTAGTGGGTAAGTCTTTCAAATTAATAATTGATAATAACAGTGGCTTCTCCCATAAAGATAAGCTGATTTCATCATGGAAGAATGTTTCTATTTTTGATGCATGTTATGTCAGCAAGGGTTATGTTTGCTTTAGGTTTAGATAAGTCACATATTATATTTTACTACTTAATCATCTGACATCTTAAAGGAAACAAAAAATTAGCATCTGTCTGGATGTCTGGAACTCCTGACCAGTTTGTGTGGTAGGAGGTTTAAGACATTAGAAATGTTTAACCCATACAGCATCTCCTTTTGCTACCTGTACACTATACTTCAGAGTGAAAGGCTGGCTCTAATTATTTTTAGGTATCCCTTGATCCTCTGAATGTTTGCTCTGGTGTGCAATTCATCGATTTTCCTAAACGGCTTTATCCAATACAGAATTGAGCGGAACCCAGAGCCCATCTCGGCAAGTAACAGGTGCAAGGCAGGATACACCCTGGATGGGACACCAGTCCGTCTCAGGGAGCACACAGACACATACACTCACACCAGAACCATTCCCTTCCCAGGGGCTAATTAATGTATCGGTATGTCTTTGGACTGCAGGAGGAAACTGGAGCATCAGGAGAAAACCCATGCGAACACAGGGAGAACTTACAAACTCCATGCAGATAGCGCCCCAGGAACTGAACTCAGGGCCTCAGTGCTGAAGACTGCAAAGCTAACCAACATGTTAAAAATTAACTAAGTAGATGTGATGCAGAATATGTCAATGTAAGGTGAAATTAATGTACAACGATCTTTTCATGTCAAGGTTTTATTAGTCTTGTGCTCAGAAGCCTAATTGACCAAGCCTGCAAACACTGGCACAACTGGTAGTTATTATGTACAGTAGTTATAAATACCCCTTCATTTCACGTGGAACAGCTGAGTGACTTGCAGCTGCCTTTATTGCTACAGCCCAAGATAACCAGGTACAGAGAGAACATTTATTGCCCCCTCATTAGACCACTATTCTTATAAATTCCATGCCCAGAACAGACCTATACCATTTCGCCAAGAAGACCCCTCACCATATCTGAACTCAAGTCAGCTCCTGTACGGAAACATGAAGCTTGCCTGGCAAAGAACTGGATGGATTTTTTTCTTTGTCTTTCTTCAGGGCAGCAGAGGAATGGAGGAAAGGTAAATGGTTGTCTCCCACACTGTCATCTTCAGTAGGAATGAATTACTGAACCATTTAATATTCAGTGATGATGGGACTTCATGCTGCATAGTGAAGTGGACCAGTGCCTTATTTCTTCATGACGAATGCAAGAAGGACCATCAGATCCATTAATTAATTTCTACTTACAACTATCAGGGCTGCTTTGTGTAAGAGAGAGCGGAACATATCAGTTGTCTTTCAAAGGTGTAGCCTTTTTAAGTTGTTTTTCCATTGGCGGTCATCGGTATGCGGTTATTGGCAATTTCATTTCATGTGGGTTGTTACAATGTTCAGATCTGTGTGCACAGAAATGACAAACTGTACATGTTTTATATGATAAAACCAATGAACCCTTTTTCCATTAGATAACCCTGATCCAGTGCTTTCCCAGTAGAAATTACTATTTTGTTCGCAGTATAAACTCCATGCGTTAAGCAAGCTTCCTCAGACTTCAATTAATCAAGTTTCAATTGTCGTAAGTTGACAAATTGTTACACAATTAAAAATAAGAAAATAAGAATTCAATATTAAAAGAGAAGCAGGTGATTATTTGTTAATATGCCTTAGAACAGGCAGGACAATGTAATTTGCATTATTTTCTGCTTGATTGCTATAGGGGTGTGAAGACTGCAATGTTTGAAGCTGAACAACAGTGGACCTTGAAGAATTACAATTACACTAAATACCATACAATGGAGGATGTGAGTGATAGCAGGTTTTCAGTTTTTGAAAAGCCATTATTCTTATATCCTGGGATGCTTCTCATCTTCCGTCTTGTGAGAAATCAAGTAGTTGGTTTCCAAAACGAATCCGTTTTCCTGTAGATACAATCCCCTAATTTTTCTGCTTTCTTTTAAAGTGCAGTGCTGAAGACTGTGTCACAGTTTTGAACCCATTCTCTTCTCTAAATTACTGTTTTTACTGTAAATTACTCTAAATTAGCTCTCTTTTCCTGTCTTGTTCAGTGTTCAGTGCTTTAAAAAATAAAAATGTGTAAATTAAATGAATTTAAAACTCATATGCAAGTGAACATAAAAATCATCTGAAAACATAAAACATAAAATGAAACAGGTGCAGTAATTCTTATTTTATGTTTTCAGATGATGAGATTAAGTTTGGAGGCATCTAATGTAGGAGATGAAATTCAAGATTTCTATGAGCCAGACAAAGTTCATTTCCTGTTTATTTCCTATTGAAAATTATTCAGGTGGTCTCAGATATGTGATGAAGTACCATAGTGAAATGTAGTCAAAATGTGAGGCCAGCGTGTACAAGCTTCTTCTTTTGCTTATTATATATTATTTCACTGTTCCAGAAACGATACATGTTTGCTTGAATATTGTTGTGTGATAGTAAGTAATTAAAGTCATACGAAACAAGCATACAACAAATAATCGATATCCTTCAAGGTAACTTTGACCAAGTATGTGATGTGGAATGTACAGCCGTTGTGAATGTACAGCAGATGTGTTAAGTGCTGCTGAAAGGAGAGGAAGAAATCACATTGAAATTGGCATTTTCTTTCCAGATATACAAATGGATTAATATGAATGTCGCCGAATACCCAGACCTCGCATCTTCTCAGTTCCTGGGGATGACTTCTGAGAATCGACCCATTTATCTCCTGAAGGTAGTAAAGACCATTGATTTTTTACATGAGAATATAAAAACATAAAGATGTTTTTTAGTTCGATCATCAGCTTGAATGATGTGGCTGGGTAGCTTGACTCTCATTTCCCAAGTGAGAATTTTTTAGCGAAATGCCTTCATTTGGTGAGCGAAGATCACTAAAGTCCAGCATGATCTGCTCAAGAGTGTATGGCTATAACTGTTGTCTACAGTTACTGTAGAAGTTGTCTCCATTATTATTTTCAAAACATTGATAGAGCACGATAGTTATCTAGTCAGGGGTTTAAGAGATTTCTAAAAAGTAGGGGAAAGAATGCCCTCCATACTTCACTGTGGTTATATTATCTCAGACATGGATTGTACAAAACAACAAAGCATGAATAATGCTGACCCACCTCTTTTCATTATGTAGATTGGTATCAGAACGGATACACCTAAGAAGGCCGTCTGGATGGACTGTGGCATCCATGCCAGGGAATGGATTGCTCCTGCCTTCTGCCAGTGGTTTGTGAAAGAGGTAGGTGCCTCCAGACACACAGCAGACCTGTGAAGAAGCCCAAGGAAATGGAGCAGGAAGTACCAATCCACCATTTTGTACCCAGAAGAGCTCTCCAGAAGAGAATTAAAATGGTATCTCCTGTACAACTTGAAGTAGCTCTTTTTTTCAGCTTATTATTCAGGACACTTATATTGGAGATTGCCACAGCAGGCAAAAACTACACTTACTGGCCCAGATATTCGGACCACTTAGTCAAACGACTTGACTTTCATCATCTTTAGCCCCACACGCCATTCACAGCCTCAGTTGAAGGTGAACCTGCTAGAAAAACAGGATGGGACTGGAACCTTTGACATTTTTCATACATTCTGGTTAACATTCCACATCTTTCTCACACTGTTCTTTGCTGTTCTCTGAAGCTCGACATGCTGTTTTGTAGGAATACCTAATATCATGGCCAATGTGCTGGTCCCTGGAATATCTGGGGCTAAATTTCCCCATGCTGGGATCCTAGGACTGCTAATTTGTCTTATGCTGAGGTCCTAGGACCCTTTGAGATCTCATTTACGTACATGATATTGTGGCGAAAACCAGAATTGCCTTTAAAAGTAAACTAATTAGATGATCCTAACTGTCAAGTTAGATGATGTCATTCTCTGTTTTATTTGTAACAGATTCTACAGAAACACAAGGAAGATGAAAAGTTAAACACTATGCTCCAGAACCTGGATTTCTATGTCACTCCTGTGCTCAACATTGATGGTTACATTTATTCTTGGCTGAATAGTAGTGTAAGTACCACACTCTTTCTAAATACACTATGAATTTTCTTTCATATGGTAATGGAAACTTAAGGATCTACTAAACAGTGTCAAGTGAAGCTGGTCTCCACTTATACTGTACGTTTGGGTGGACTGGAGCCACTGGGGTAAAGTATCTCACTTACTGTACAACAAAGACTCTACAGCTGGGACTCGAACCCACAACCTACTGGTCACAGGTCCAGAGGCTCACCTACTCTGCTATGCCTCCACCAGCATAAAAAAAAAGTACGATACTTTAATTCTTGCTTTCCTCTTTAGTATTATTGTTAGCGTGGAATGCGTGATGCATTTCCTGACAAACAGTGTAGAAAATGTGTGTTCATCATGTGATAATCTCCTCCTGTAAAATCAGACTCAATGTTTATTTGCCTTCCTAACATCCTTTAACACCTTGATTTGTGATCCGTGTCCAAAACCAAAAATAATACCTAATGTGATTCAAGTAACTCAAGTAGCTCCATCCCCACAAATCTTCGCCGCTTCAGTTTTACAGCTACAGTGTCTGGATGAGCTGAAAGTGTTAAAAAAAAAGTTCATTCTTTCTCTTTAGACTCGCCTGTGGAGAAAATCTAGGTCAGCTCCCCCAGCTAACTGTACTTGCTTTGGGGTAGATTTAAACCGGAACTTCGATGCGACCTGGGGCAGTAAGTGGTCTCTTCTCTTATGTTAGCAGAGTATTCATTACTTCAGTAAATTACCGTGAAACTCAGTCCTCCGTCATCGTGGCAAACTGATTGTGCCATCTCTGAGTGCTTTATAATTTGTGCTCTCCCCAGCTCTTGGCATCTCTTCGGACTGCTGTTCTGACATGTACTGCGGGACGGGACCAAATTCCGAACCAGAGGCTAAGGCAGTGACGGAGTTTTTAAGCAGGCGGAAAGACCAGTTCCTGTGTTTTCTCACCATTCACTCCCGTGGGCAGTTGCTACTGTATCCTTATGGGAATCCGGAGAAGAAGGCTCCCAATTATAAAGAATTGGTAAGAATGTAGAAAATACACAATTTATATATTCATCTTAACATATACAATATATTGTACACATGAGTACATAGGCCTGAGAGCAAACAGAAAAACTCACCTATTGAGATACAAAGACTCATTAACTGTTCCTGTGGAGCTGTAGAACACAGAACCCTACTTCCAGTCTTGATGAAGAAATAATAATTTTATTTAATGAGTGCTTTTCCACAACGTCAAAGTGCCAAGCAATAGGAGAGAACAGAAACAAGTTAGGGGAGTAATGTTTGGGGGGAAAAGATTGGTTGTAAAAATGTCAGGTGAGTATCCCTAAGGTATTTGAGAAGATATGTTGCTGCACATGAGAAGTGATTGGTCACTAGTGTGGAGCCAGATCGATGATGTAGTAAAAGAGGTCAGAGTCATCTGATCTCAGGCTATCCTACAAATAATCCAGATCAGTGGCTCATTTGTGAGCTGGAGAGCTTTAAAACGGGAGCCAGTGTAATTTACAGAGCACAAGAGGTCCCCGCTGAATGCTTTTTATTTAGTACACAAGACGCAGAATGATGGCCGTTAGCACCTGGGGAAATAAGATGATTAGTAAGAAAGAACATTTGAAATCGTTTTCTCCTCCGTCATTCGTTTAAATGAATTTAAACCCAGTGATGATGAATCTCACTCCCCTCTCATTATGCACTTAGACAAATGTCACCGTTAACTTTACAAGCCTAGCAGGACTTCCTGGTATGCTTTTCCATGGCTAAACATTTTGGAGTATGTTCATCCATGTTTGCTTTTGGAACACTAGCTCCTAGAACATGACCTCTCATGACCTCAGGTTTGATGAAGACGCAGTTTTTATGCTTTGTTTCAACAAGCAAAATAGGACACGCAGTCTGGGGTTCCACCTCTAACCAGTGTGATGAGTATTCCTTAATGTCGGCAGCTCTAATGTCGGCCTGGCTTGTCTGGGACCTTGTCTGCGAGTGAGCGGTGAAGAGCACAAGCATCTAGCTTCACCTTTTTTCACTCCTGGGCTTCTGGGTGGCCACTTCACACACAGGCCAGTCTTGCTGAGGAAAGTCAATTGGCCAAAATCACGTGACTCAGTCTCAGAAAAGGATGTTTTTTTTATGTGGCGGAAAATCTTACAATCAGTAAAACAAGCTGTCTCTGAAAAAAGAAGATTTCATGAACAAAGAAGAATAGCTTGAATTATGTGTGCCAGTATACATGGTAACTTAAAATGAACATATAATCTTCTGCGAGCATGGCCAAGAACAAAAAGGAGCAAGCACAATAGTATTTGTTAGTGTAGACTTGACATTCTTAGTTCTGATATTAAATGTGAATGCTGACAATAACCCCATAAAAGCAGATGTGTTGCAGGAAAGCTGTATGATTTCACTTTTTTATGTGATAATGCTCATTTTAAATGAGAGGGCTTTGTAATGGTGTCTTTACACTTGAGACTGCCTTGTGTCAGCATTTCAGTAGAGGCGTTCTTAGAATCTTCTTTCTATCCAGAAAGAACTGGGCGAATCTGCTTCAAAAGCGATTAAGGATGTACATGGAATGGTATACAGAGTGGGCTCTCCTCCAGAACTTTTGTGTAAGTACTCCAAATTCTGAAAAGTTTTTTTTGCATGAAATATTTTTCTTCACACAAAAATGCGAGAGAGCAAAACTACTTGTATTAAAAAAACAGAAGACTGAAATTCACAGTAGCACACATCCCATTACATCTCAGTTGAACACTATGAAATCCTCTGATTAAAGTTTTATAATCTGGGCAGAGGTGTGCTGTAATCTAAAGAAAACAAAATGCAGTAATTCATGCTTAAACCTCATTTCCTTCTATGGCTGATTTTATTCCTCTCTCTGGCTCCTAGGCAGGTGTCTCCTTTGTGAACAATCGCTTATTAGATCAACTGTTCTTTGCAAAATTAATTTAGGTTAAACGAGCTCACAACTATGTGCAGATCAAAACTATGTCCCCTTTTCCTAGATGGTGTGTAACACACTTGTTGGTAGAACATACACAAACTAGTGAATAACGGGCAAAATTCTTAAAAATAACTAATGAGAAGATTGCAGTGTTTAGCCAAACATATTGTTTGTTATGCAGACAAAGATTGCTAAATCGACAGATGTGTCTTACAAATTTTGAGGGAACAAATCTGGCATCTTTGAAGTTATTGGTTAGGTTAAGAATACAACCTTCATACATTCCTTTCAACCTTGGATTCCAGACAACAATTCTGGATCATCCCGAGACTGGGCGAAGGACATTGGAATTGAGTTTGTCTACACGTTTGAGCTGAGAGACAATGGGACCTACGGATTTCTACTGCCTGAAGAACAGATCCAGCCCACTTGTGAAGAAGTCTTTGCTGGTGCAAGGACTATCATCAGTCACGCCCACGACAAGCACTTTCCCAGCAGCGCAGTTCCTTCTGCTCCTGCTCTCTGGATAGCAGTGCTAGCAGCCTGGATTTCATTCCAGACATTTACATAACACAGGTATCCGCTGTGAGGCTGTATGGCATCAAGAGTATCACCACTCATTATGTCCATCTAAAAATATCTTCCACTCATTTTTAAGGTGTTCTTTGTCTCCACAACTGTCTTTTTTATATATAAAATCTGTGACGCAACGTGCAGGATTTGCAGTATGTCTTTGCTTTCCCATAAAAAAAATCCTGTGGTCCTGCGGTTCTCTTTTGTGTGCGAGGTTTCTCTGTTAACATGAGATGAGTTCAAAGCACTGTGAGGGTTTGATCGGTAGACATAAAAACAAGCACTTGTGGACAGAATTTTAAAAGGGGCATTTCAAGAGCCCAGGGTAGGGTGTTGTACTGTGTAACAATGAAGGAGATGTGTGCATTGCAATCTTCGAAGTTGCCTCTTAGATGGGAAAAAAATGAAGAGCAGATTTAGCTGTTAACATCTTGTAAGCTGTTGCCAACACTACGGTTCAATGGAGTCTGAAATGGCATTCATGTATTTTAACACTGCAAGAAAATACAAACAAGTCTGAGCCCAGACTTTGCACATTTTCATCTTCAATGTTGGGGGTATGTTGTCCCTATTATTTGTGCAATTTTTTCTAGTAATTAATGTGCAATTGTAAATTTTGCACATTTGTGCTACTAATCAACTGCTACCACTCAGCTATTCACAAACTTTTTTCACACATACTTATAATATATTTCACATATATCTTAAAATTATACAGTATATTTCATATATAATGAACAACCTAAAAGATGTTTAATACCTATTTATACCTGTAATATTTCTGCCAGTTGTGGGGTACATCATTACAAACCATGTCTGCTCTCAGTTAACAAGAATATTGGGTCCAAAAAAAGCAAAGAAACTAGTATTAATTAATGTTATTTTATTGTGTCTTTATACAAATCAATTAATATTTATACACATTTCAGCTAGGAATTTAACTGGAACATCATGATTGAGAAGTCTTGCTTAATGGGCGCAACAGCTGTGCTCTTTCACTTCTTTTATTAATTTTTATAGATTTAATTTCTGAACATGAAATATACACCAATAGCTATTTTATGTTACTGTATACTGCTTTAGATCTTACTACTTCATGTTGTTTTTTCAACAGGATGTACAAAATCAAGAAAAAACGTATCTTACTTGACGTTAAAAGCTGTTTTTTAAACCTTTTTTATATTCTAACATGCATATAATACCTTATTATTTCTGTGTACATAGTTCCATTTCATGATGATACATGGACAGACATGCAATTCTCACTAGGTACTGTATATGGTATTGCTTTGTAGTCCTCTCTCATAACCAGTAGGTGACAGTGTTGTTCTTTCTGTGTTGTTCTTTCTGCGTTCTGAGGATCTTCACAGAAAAAGAAAAAGAAGATTTCTCTGATTGTATAGCTTGGATTTATTGAGTTGGAGAGGCCAAAAGGAGCACTGATTGCTTTCAGCTTGTTTTTATTTCTGCGTGAGATATTCTCGGATCACCTTATTGGACAACAGCTGCAAATTCTGAAATGCAAAGTTGAAGAATATAGTATTAAGTTTTTATAAACGCCTTTTCTGGATCAGAAAATTAATTTCATTAGCGGCTACTAAGACTGAAGATTAATAAGGACTAAATCCCTTATAAAATTTTTTTTGGCAGTGCATAGGAAGAAACATATGTAGTGGAAACAGTTACAAGCCTGAAAAATTAACAATTTTTTCCCCAGCGTTTTTGTAAATGGAACATTTTGCATCTTAGAGCGTTTTTTGTTTTACAGAGGTTTAAAAACATAACAAAAGTTACAAATGAGAGGAGGTCGTTCGGACCATTTGGCCTGCTTGCCTATTATTGATTCAAGGATCTCGTCCAGATGTGTCTTGGAGAAAGTCAGGGTCCTGGCTTCTGCCACCTGCCTGGGTATCTTGTTCCATACTCCCACAACACTAAGAAATGCTTTCTCTTAGTTTTCTATGCACTTGTGCATAGATTCCACTACTGTCCACTAGTTCACAAGTCACTGTTCATTCTGCAGAAGCTCACTGTGTTGGCTATGTCAGTGCGTTTGAGGATTTGAATACTTCTATCAAATCCCTAGAGGTTTTCTCTGCTTAAGACTTAAGGGGTTCGGTTCCTTCAGCCTGTCAGTTCAGGACAGTTCCCTGAGCCCTTGAATGAATCTGTTTGCTCTTGCCAGAGGTGAATCCGAAGCAGGAATTTATTTTCTGTGACATGATGACTGATTTTAACACAACATCCCTAGCTGTGGATTCTACACTTTTGACTATACGGCCACATATTTTGTTGGCATTTGTTGGGTAGATTCCTGATACGGTTCGAGCAGCATTTTGTGTTTTCAAGCATCTTGCTAAGAATGCTAAGAGTGGGCAACTGTGTCTCCAGAGTACATGGGCTGCAAAGCAACACATAAAGATTCGTTCCAAGCTGAAAGTAGAACGAAAGAAAAGGCTTTGGCTTAATCCACTCCTTCGTTAAAGATGTTACATCCGTCCATCCATTTTCTAATTGTCACAGGAGCCGGTCCTGACTCCCGTGTAGTCCATAGTTTAGGACCCTGTGCAGACGGTATAATCCGGAAAGTGACTGGAAAAGAGCTACGGGGAAAACGCAGTCAGGAAAGGACGGGATGGCGAACAGGGGCCGATGCCGACAGTGGGCAGGTGCAAGGGGGGGTGGGGATCGCAGGTAAACAACTCCAAGTAAATCCAAAATGGGAAATCCGGGTGCAGTCCAAAATCCAGGACCTGGGTGATCCATCCAAGACGAGACAGTGTCAAAATCCGGTGTAGGATCCGGAACAGAAACAGGAGGTTAAACAAAGAATGACGAGGCCAGGTGCTCCGAACCCCGGACTAAGCTGGGTCAGGATGCCGATTGGAAGCCTATGCCCTCAAGCTGCAGACGTACAGAAGGACAGCTTGATGCTAGGCGGGGCCTATGGGCGTCCGTCTTCCAATGCAGAGCCCCGAGCTTCCGGAGCACCGGGTTTAAATAAAGAACGGAACAAGGGGGCAGGTGAATGTGGTGATGAACCTAACACAAAAGGGTCGAAACGCCCTCTAGTGGAGGGATGAGGATCGTGACACTGATGGCTTAATCTAATTCGGGTTTGCAGGGAAAACACTCTATCCCAGCCAGCAACAGGTGCAAGGCAGGGTACACCCCGGGCGGGACACCCTTGCAGCGCGGCATATTACAGATTTTGTATAATTGCTTATGACTGTCAGTTTTGTGTAATGTACTGTATCACTAAATTGTTATAGTCATTTGTATATTTTTATAGGAATGCTATTTAAGACCATTTAGTATGGAGTCACTCACTAACAATTAACTCACTTTACTGCTAAGGCCTTTGAGCACAATGTGACACTGAAAATGTTAAATCATCTGCTAATTTTAACAGTGTGTGTGTCCTATATGGGCAGTGTCAGACGGAGGGCTATTGGAGTTCGTAACGAATGCGCAGGGATGTTAACAGCCAAGTTCAATCGGCCTCAGTTGTCAGAAATTTGTGATCATTCCCAATGTCAGTTCATTAAAATATGATCAATACTATGCATAACGTATACATCTCTTGTGTTTGTTTTCTGCACCCCACCTCCACCTGTGCAGCTGCCCCTTGGTCACTCCTCACTCTGAATGGGGGTCCCAGCCTCCTCGTCCCTGACCAGGAGGTCAGCCCTCAGCAAACTGATGTGCGTAAAACACTCGGTAAACATTTTCAATATGCTTAAATCTTGTATGTTGTTTTTGCTAGTGGAAAATAGATAACAGATTCCTTATGAGATTGCCACATGGTTTCTGCTGCCTCAGCATGTTGAAAATCAACTTACCATTAAGCAGTAAGACAAGGGTAACTCAAGTGCTCCCATTCCTTAAGGACCTACAAATCACTGGACACACTGTCTTTGGGTTATCCTGCACAATACCCACCTCCTGAGACTTGAGGAATCTCAGTCAGAGTCAGTTGTTTTCTTAGCAGTGCTTTGACTAACACTGCCCTTTACTCTTCTAATTAAAACTGACTTACTGTTTATTCAGGAGCACATAAGTTATTTGACTTTGGCCTTTCTCATAAGAGAAACGAGAAGGCAACAGTACCTTTATATAAAAACAACCCAAGCAAAGGTCTCAGGAATGATTTCCCAAGGTGAGACATGTTTTGACATGATTATTGTGGAACTGTTTTGTACAGGAAAAACAAACATACCAATAAGTCAAAGAAATATTGAATCATCTTAATTTTATGTAACTATTTCCAATTAACACTGTCAGTTTGATACATATATGAGGTTATTGCTCTTTTGACCATATTATTTTACAGGTTAAACTGTACTGTATATATAACCCACTGCCCAGAACAAGAATATCTTTGAGCTTTTCACTGGTGTCAGATAAACTTAGCCTACTTCAAACGCACAATGAAATTCAAAGCCATTGAAAAGGACGATCAGTTTAAGTCTTTGTCTTATAAATTAGCCTTTGACAAGGAATGCCACTGAAAAGGTGTCCATGACTCACTCGTCACTTTTCTGCTGTTCCTAAAACAAAATAAAAAACACACCATAGTGCCGGTAATTACCCTCTCTGACGTCGTTGCTGTTGATGTTTGTCAGTCACCTCACTTTTATGAAGGATGCCTGCTCCTCCTATGTCGTTCTGGTAGTTTCCAGAAGCCTTTGTGAAAACCATTAAACGGCTGCTTGTCATTTTTTATTCTAATGGATTTATGTACAGTAACGTAAAAAAAAAAAAAACCCTGTCAAAACCATTCCTTGTTGACATCAGACTCAGAACACTTGGAGCCTGTAAATGTATCCCCCAGGGCCATCGTCTCAAAACAAAAGTTCTAAATGCGGCTATTATTTGAACTGAAGTTGCTGGTGCCTCTGTGGAGGGCTCAGAAATCCCCAGACTGCGAAGGTCACAGGGTGATGAGGATTAATCTACTTAACCTGCCAGCATTCCAGCATAGTGTGAAGGGAAAACGATTTCTCCGGAGTTCTGTTATTCATTACTTAAAAAAAAAAAATACATCTTTGTTACTCCTCTGAGGCCAGCTGAATAAACCATGAGAAAATCTCTACTACTGTACTTGTAGAGGCGGCTAGTGAAAGCACCCTGTTTCTTCATCTTGGAGGAGGGTTTCCCACAGACTGCTGCTGTTTTGGACACCTAAGCCCAATGGAAAGTGTTTTCTCCAGTTTGTGGTAGTTACAATGGTCAGCAGACTGATTTGTAAGGCCCTTAGATACTCTGTTAGTAAAGGGTGGCTCAGGCTCATTAGTGCCTAATGCTTCCTCTGGTATTCCCTGGTTGTAAGGTTCTGGAGAGACGAATTCTAATGCAAACTCTCATTGGCAAAGGCAACAAAGGACAACCTGCCTTGTTCCAAAGCTTGTGTCGTTCTTGCACTCCAGGCATTTCATTGAAATGTCAATACTGCTCAATTCTTATGGGATAGAGCTAGT